AAATATATATATTTTCTATATACAGGGTGTCCTTTTGATCTTCGATAGCTACAAGGTGTCCCATATGAAAGTAGCAATAAGTCGGAAAAGGTAGTCTTTGATATATAAAATTATTGGCTGAATTTATTTTCAACCTGTTTTTACAATGGTTCTTGATTTAATGGTTACAAAATTCTCCTAGAGTCCTGGCATTTTAGGTGATGTCAATATTACCGGAGATATTAAGAAATTAAATAAAACCAAAATTGTCGAAACCTGCTGTACAAAATTCTTCATGTCTCTCTAGAATTTAAGGTTATCGAATATTAAATATCGAATATCGAATATCGAATATCGAATATGGAATATCGAATATTGAATATTGAATATCGAATATCAAATATCGAATAACTGTCGCAAATTTTTTCCAAGATCACAAACAACCTTCCAATCGTAGATTAAATTATATATTAATGTTTGAAATTTTGAAAACTGATAATTTTCAATTTGGTTTCTCTACCAAAGTGGAGTATTTTGAATACAGGAAAACATAACGGAGTTAATAAAACACTTTTATGCCTAGAAAAATGAAAATATCTTCTACATTATTGATCTGATAAATCCGTTGTAAATCGTTCAATACCATCTTTGTAAGGAAGGTCAAATAAAATTACGCTTACAGTCCCTTTAAATAGGAATCACAGATCAAGTCTCTGGACTCTCTATTCTAAAATTCTAAAAATTAACAGTTTCTTCCAACGTGCGGGAGGGAAGAAATCCCAAATCCTTCTCATTTTTTTCCAGTAAAAAAAATACACTAAATTCAAGATTTTTAATTTATTTTTTAACAAGACAAATTCAGAATTAACATTAATTATAATTTTAACATAATTATTATTTAGATATAATTAATATCAACTTAATACAGATTACTACAACGTCACAGCCATTTTACACAACAGTATCAGCAGTGTTAGGAGAAATATATACAAAGTGTTTCAGAAATAGGGAAAAGTTTAGAATTTTGTAGAGTGTATCTCAGAAAAAGGTTATGGATATAATTATTTACTATGGGTGAATCAAAGACTAAGTAAAGGTTGGAGAGAAGGTATTACAGAGTGTGTCAGAAATATTTCAGAAAGATTTAGTACATACAGGGTGTTTCTGAAAACTTATCCGTATACTGGATTTTGTTATGTAGACAGTATAAATTTAAGTTTTTTGACACCACTTTTAAAAAAACTACGGAACTCGTATTTTTTAATCAAAAAGAAAAAAGAGTAAAAAATTAAAAAAGAATTGTAAATAGTAAGCAAAAATAAATGTACATTAATGAAAAAAACTTTACATTTGTTTTGTAATATTTGTTTTTTGTCAGTCAAGATTTTGAGTGCTAGTTTTTATTAAAAATTTTAAAATTATTATTGCGGCATTTTTTCGGTAAAGTTTCCGTATTTGAAACCCTGAAGCATGAGAAGCAGTATTAAATCACCCGGAGGTTTAAATTCTTTATCAAGCTATTGTATTAAATTCAAAACTGTGAAAACTTGCAAATTCGATAAAAACAAAGTAAAACAAATGTGCAAATATGCCACAAAATGACAATTAATGCACGCGATACACGACACAACAATTATTGATTGGACGCAGGGGCGTATAAAGGGGGAAATAATAATTACATATACATTTTTACGCTTATTCTTAACAATAATCTAGCAAAAGCGTAAATTAATGAAGGTTGGACTGAAAGGGAAATCTTAGAAATGCAAATCGATTAAAATTATAAAAAGTTGTTAAAAAGAAATATATATTTCTCTCTTATCGTTTTTCTATTTCTGTATTTGAAATTCTGTTTCTGCCTTGCAGAGATTTATTTAGCAAAGTTCAATAGTTCTAGGGCTTTGCATGCTGTCTAGGGTGTCGGGGGTAAATTATATTTATAGTTAGTTTAAGTGCTCTGTGCTATTCAATAAATTTCAAATATAATTTGTTTGTATACACATTACAAATGGTGTCCAAAATTGTATTTTTATGTCAAAAAAAATACTTTTTTAATGCAGCGAAAATAGAGCTTGTTTCAGTTGTTCTAAATTAGAGGCCTTCTAAAATTTAGAAATAAATGATTCTGTTTTTAAATTTATATTTTTTTATCGCGTTTGTAACAAGGCACACAAATTTTTTTTGACTAGACTATTAAACTATTTGTACCTACTCTAAGAGCATTTAACTTTGTGTATACTTACTCCAAGAGCATTTAACTATTGATAAATCTACTATAAGAGCATTTAACTATTTGTACACATACTCTAAGAGCATATACATACGTGTATACCTTCTCTAAGAGTATTTAACTTTTATATACCTACCAAGAGCATTTAGCTATTGATATACCTACTCTAAGAGCATTTAACTATTTGTATACAAAACTCCGAGATTATTTAACTATTTCTATACCCACTCTAAGAGTATTTAACTAGTTTTATATCTACTCCAAGAGTATGCTATTTGTATGCGAGCTCCAAGAGTAAACTATAGGAATACCTCTCCCAAGAGTATGCTATCTGTTTACCTACTCAAAGACTAGAATATTTGTATACCTACTCAAAAATTAAAGTATTTGTATTCCTACTCCAAGAGTAAACTTGTTGTATACCTACTCCAAGACTCTAAGAGTAAACTATGTAAATACCCACTCCAATAGTAAACAAATTATTTACCTACTTCAAAAGTAACTATTTTTATACCTACTCCAAGAGTAAGCTATTTGTATACTTACTCCAAGAGTAAACTATTTGTGAACCTACTTTAAGAGTGAACTTTTTGTATACCTACTCCAAAAGCAAAGTATATGAATAGCTACTCCAAGAGTAAACTATTTGTATACCTACTCCAAGAGTAAACCAACCTACTCCAAGAGTAAACTATTTGTATACTTACTCCAAGAGTAAACTATTTGTATACCTACTCCAAGAGTAAACCAACCTACTCCAAGAGTAAACTATTTGTCAGTATACCTACTCCAAGACCAACTAGGTGTATACCTACTCAAAGACTAACTATTTGTCAACCCTAAATGTTTAGTATTCCATGAACGGGTTGGATCTAAGATACAATTAGATTGGGAACATAGCATAAATACCTAGACATCCCTTGTAATAAAACTATTCATACTAAGCTTACTGTCTGCATATTAATCTGTAGCGTACATTTCTCCGTGCACTTTATGACAAGTAATGCGCAGAATGTGTACGAAGCTAGAGAAACGAAGTTATCTTAAAAATTATCGATCTGATAAAGATTTAAGGGTGTGTTGTGAATCGGGAAAGCCACATGTTTAATGGAGGGTCACTTAAAATCAAAATTGCATTATTTTTTTAACCTTACCAGTCTTTGAATGTTGTGATGTATGTTTCTGAGCATATCCATATCTTGAGTAGTTGTGGGGTACCGCAAGGTCCTGTATTCGGTCTTCTGTTTATACACTTCCTCTCCTGATGGTATAATATCAGGTCCTCGGCATCCCTCTCCTTGCAGACCTAGTTCTTTATTCTCTTGAAGCCTAGTCTCTCCCCGGGTAACCTGAAAATATGAGGAAAAAATATTACTTTTTATTATTTTGGCTTTTTCTTATTTGCACATTCCCAGAAAATTTAACCATCCATTCGATTAAATGTCAGAATCATACAGGGTAACAAAAAAATAGTAAACTTGTTTTTTCATAGTTAATTCTTTGAAAAGGCCATTTAAAGACTTTTCATGGCAAATAACTTTTGGGTCATCACTATTCAGAATTTCAGGTCGTCTTTACAGTCTCATCCTTTCTGGGTAACCCTAAAGCTGTTGTGTTTTATGACAATAAAGAAAGCTTACTACAAGTTGGAGTACATTCCAGCGATATTTATTTTGTTTTAAAAATGTCCTCCTTCTTTAATTAGGAACGTATTTTTCAATTATGATAGGAAATAGGAATGGGTTCTTAAAGGCTTGTATTTTTCAATTATGATAGGAATAGATTCTTAATAACTGGAAAAATGGAGGGAAAAATTATATTTTGGTAATTAGAATGGAAAGGTGGAAAATGATGTCCCATTAACATAGCTTTAAAGTTTTCGAAAAAATCCATCCGTTAGAATGCAATTAATTACCTTCTCGTAATTAGATCTGCAGCAGAGGATAAATATTATAGTGAGAGAAACTAGAGTAAGTGCAGACCCAATACCAATCAGAATACCCAGAATGGGGGTTATAGCAAACTTACTCCGTAATGAACCAATCTTAGCCTAAATAAGACAAAATTAGTTTTCTTAACTCAAAATGAAATAAAAAGCTGAGACATTAGACAGACGGCCCAAAAAATATTTTCGCAGTTTTTTTAAATAAAAAAGAAACGAATAAAGCTTAAGTTATCTCAATAACTGCTTATAATGTTTCCATTTTATTGATAAGCAAAATAATCCTAAAAATAAAAAAAAATAAAAAATAAAATGCCGGAAACCTGGTCTGTGTGCCTCTCTGCAGCCTGAGGTTTAGTTGTATGTGCGGTGAGTTGAACGATAGAACTCCGGCCTTTCTCGTTTATAGAGACAACAGATACCATATATTCACGCTCAGAGTCCAAACCTAGAAACATAAAAGGTTCAACTAGAAATCAGACTAGAAAAAGAATTACAACTAGAAATCAGACTAGATAAAAGAATATAAACTAGAAATCAGTCTAGATATAAGAACTAGAAATCAGATTTTTTTTCTATTTTAATACATGACCCTCCGTTTACTGACGAATAAATTCTGACAATTTCCTGCATTGTCTGTACTGCATAAAACTAAAAGTCACTTTTACAGAGAAGCCCGAATAAAAAGTATAATTCGCTTTCATAGACTAGAAAACTAGGATATCTCATTCATTAAAGATAAGAAAAAGGTGTATAGGGTTGCCATTGTGAATCGAATATTCCACTCGAAAAATGGAGGCTAATTTTATATTACGTCTAAGTCCTTTTCAAAAAGATTGGAAATAATGAAAATTTTCAAAAAAAAGTATCTTTTAATCTTGCTGTTGGAGCTTTATGGAAAGGAAAATATTTCAAAATTATATTTATATTTTCTTTAAACTTGTGAAAACATTAATCTTTGTTTTTATAAACTTTTCCCAATATTGAAGATTTTCTATCGGAAACACATTTATTTAAATTATAAATAGAACACTTAACCCTATCCCCTCAATACGTATATAAAAGAGATAAAACTATTTTAGAAAAAAAATATTAGTTTTTAATATTAAAGTGATAAAATCGGTCAAATTTTTTTTCCTAGCGTAAAATTATTGGCATACCCCAAATAGATTCTAGTACAATAGACGGCAACGTAGAATTTGTACACTCTCAGTTCAGCTGTATTCTTACGTCACAAGTGTCAACTTAGTTTTTATGTAGTTGATATACTGCAAATAACCAGGCTTAGATGCAATTCGTTTCTTCAATTTGAATTAAACCACATTTTTGCCTATATTTCAACTTTTTATACTTTTTTAAACGTATCCTCTACCTACAAAACATGTATAAAAAAAGGAAAAAAAATATGTCTTTATTGTGTCAAATTGTGATAAAAAACTCAGTTTTCTGTGACAAGGACATAAGTTTGAAATCAGTGTATGTATAAAATTGTAATTCTAAATATGGTTATATAAAGTATTTTAATGCCTGCTACTATCATCAAATTTTAAAATGAATCGCCTTCGTCGAAATCCTAATTATTAACAAGATTTGTTGAGATTAATCTTGGATTTCTAGTTCTGCCGAATTAATGAAAATATGATAAAACCCTCAAGGATTTGGCAAAGTTAATCTGGAACATATTACTTTTGTAATTGGATTTTTATTGCAAGGAAAAAAAATATCAGTTTTATCTAAATTGGACATTTCTTCTATACAGCTTGTAATTTTCATTGATATATATATTAGTGAAGAAAAAAGTTAGACATAAAATGTTGGATAACTTAAAATCATTTTCCTTGACATGACAATTATGTAGGTCCTAACCATGTAATGTTCTGCCCAGGTAATGCTTTTCCTTTGTAATGTGAAATGTACGTTTTCTTTGAAATGCATGCTTTTTATGAAATGTACGTTTTTCTATGAAATGTACGTTTTCTATAAAATGCATGTTTTTTATGAAATGAACGTTTTCTATGCGTAAAATTTACCATCTTTGAAATGTACGTTTTTCTATTAAATGTACGTTTTCTATGCGTAAAATGTACCATCTTTGAAATGTACGTTTTTCCTTGAAATGTACGTTTTCTATGCGAAAAAATGTACCATCTTTGAAATGTACGTTTTTCTATGAAATGTACGTTTTCTATGAATGAAATATACCATCTATGAAATGTGAGTTTTTGAAATGTACGTTTTCTATGAAAAATGTACTCTCTAATAATTCATATATTTCTATAAAATGGATTCTATTCAATCCTAACTATGAAATACCCTAATTATAAATAATCCTATGTTTATCCTATGTCTCATATAAAATCCTTAAGCTAAATGATTTGACTGAATTTAATCAAGCAACATTTATATATAAATGCACGAAAAACCTTCTGCCCTCCTCATTTAACAACACTTTTAAAAAATCGGAAATTTTGAAAGGTCTTTTAACTATCAAATTGACATTTTAAATACAGGCTCATTAGAATATCTTCCCTCGTATGCACTTCTTAAGAGATGGAATAAACTGCCACTTGATTTAAGAAGAAGTACCTCGTTTGGTATCTTTAAAATAAGTTTATTTAAAATGTTATCTGACGCCTACATCTCAAAGTGCAGTAAACCCTTTTGTTAATCTTGAAAAAAATGAATATAGAACTTTGTAGTTTTTTGTACATTCTTAATCTTATTTCTGTTAAACGTACTAAACTTAAAACTGAAAAATCACTTATTTTGTTATGCAGCACCTAGGTCTCTCTAAATTTAACTAGTAATCCCTGATTTATTGAAAACTTTCAAAACCTAGTAATATTTATCATATTGTAAACGTTTTAATATTAATTAGGTGGGGATAATACCCAAAACAGCAAATAGCTAATCTCCACCTAATTGCTATAATTACATAAATATAGTAAACAATATGAAAATAGTTGCAGATTTTTTGCCTGTAACATTATAACTTGTATGTGAATTATTAGCAATAAACTATATCTTATCTTATTATATACCAGGCTATTACTAAGCGAACTGCACCCCTTAACTTAATAACTTTAAAAGATTCCCATAAGCTGTGTTTAAACTTGGGACACTTTAAGAAGAAACCTATCCTTAATTTTTTCAAATTTGCCCACCCATCTACACCCATCTACACTCATCTACACCCATCTACACCCATTTGTAATATTTA